ATATCACACGGCCATTATATAAAAACACTGCAGAAAAGCATAACGTTCTTACCTTGAACATGTCTTCCTTCAATCTCACGACATATCCTCCTGATGCGCCTAAACTAAATTAAATTTTTCAACGCTTTAACAGCTATTTTTGGAAAAAATCACATCGGCCATAAGCATTTTAAATCTTTTGTCAATTTCAACGGCTAATATTATTTGAAGATGGACAGTGGTGCAACAGCTGTGCGATGATTTAAACTTTACAACTAATTTTAGCTTTAAATTCATGTTCACAACTGGTGCTGATTTTTATTCAGACATCAGGTTAGTCGAGACGAACTGCAGCACGAAGGTGCACTCATCAGACAATATGGTTGCATGTATGATACGTTCTAACATTACCACACCAAAGCACCATGTTATCTCTGTTATTTACAAGTCAATGGCCTATTACACGTTTTGGTGTTGGTTGCGCCGAAGCGTAACGACGTGAATTCCTGGCTCAAGGGAATCAGCAGTTAATAAGAGAAAATTAACGGCATATGTGGCTTCTGAACCTGGGTCCTCTAAGGTGCAAATCAAACTACTAACCCACAATGCCCCTGTCTAAACAATTTGTTAAACAGACGGACAAGATAGAAATTGCCAGAAAATTATTTTTGGCATTCTTGACACTAAAAGATGGTACGGATTGTGCACAGCAGGTCAAACTTAAATATCTGAAAACAGTGAATAGATGCTTTAAAATATTTAAAAAATTTGCCATCAGTAAAACTTACAAATCTACGTTAATATTCTTCTGATTTCTATCAGCTCTCTGCAAATTCATTACCAGCGCCTATATCGCAGAAGGCGCAACTGCAAAAGGCACAGAAAAAATGGGTCGGGTAAACGGCATCTGCTAGACCTTGAATGTCGAAGGCCTGAAGCACTCCAATGTTGTGATAATCTAGTGATAATCCAGTCACATCGTAACATTATACATCAAGGCAAACTAAAAATGTGTGAAAGAACTAAGGGCCACAAAAAGCCACCAGAGGAATATGCTTAGCCCTGGAACCGAAACCTAAGGTCTAACTTCACCGGCCTTAAAAAACCATGTAACATTCTTACCCGGTGACTTTTCTGATATAGAGGTCGAGGAGGTCACAGCTTTTTCCCAGGTATCCCATATTAATCGTGATCTGAACCAGTTGTGCCAACGAAGTCGTTTTCAGTTCGTCGATCAGGTAGCGTTTGAGATGTCCGCTGAAGCGTTCGAGTAGCACGTTGGTTGTTCTGCGGATATTTTCGTCGATGTCTGTCTGACTGAAAGAGAAGATGTGTCATAAGACAATATGCAGTTCTAACGCCCATCGATCGTCACCTCATTCCCAGATTATCGATAAACTTGAAGCAGCCGCGAATGAACTCCTTTACATGTTCATAGACGCTTGGCGCCAGTTCTGAAAAGGGAAAGCTGCGGGGGAAGCCGCCTTCGCTCGAAATATCCGCCGAGTCGATGCCGCCGCCGCTACCTTCCATCTCTTCGATCTTCCTCGCTAACGGAAACCGCTCTTCCAAACACCTCAAATCGTCCTCGTTTGTGACGACGATCGGTGTGTAGTTATCGGTCGCCAGCAACTCGTCGAACTGAGCACAGCACTTTGACATCAGTATTTCGTTGTACTGGTCCCGGAAGTTCTGTAGCACACGATACAAACGAGAGACTTGAAATCCGTAACCCTGTAACAACGGCAAGACTCGTCAAAACAATCCACATAAACCAGCGATAAAGAATAAGTGCACGATTACGCAAGGGAAGAAGTGGGCAGCATCCACAAATGAACGTAGACAAAGTGTGGAAATATGCACATGAATCGGTAAAACGAGCGCAGTATTGGAGCAGGTACAACGATGCCGACAAAGCACTGAGCAGAAATGCGAAATATATCTAAGCACCTACCGTCATCTATGGCTAGCGCTGGATATTAACTGAAAAGGTTCAATCCTGGAAGCAAGCAGGGGAAATGAGATTTCTTCGAATGAATGTAGAGGTGGCGAGCGCTGACATGCTTTGGAACAATGCAACTGCAATCCTCGACATGCTCATCTTTGAACACTCAAAATCCAGAGGCAATAACTGCGATTGCTTGAAGGTGTAATCAATATGTCCGGAAAGAGACTTTAAAAGTGGGTTCCATAAGCAAAATCAGGAGTCTAGCGATCAAATGACACATGTAATTCAAACGACTAGAGCATATCAACATCTGGCAGTGTTCCAACGTTAAGAAAGCTTGTAGAGATGGGAGATAACCGCTAAATTTGGGAAATATTTGGTGAAGCCGCTGCACCAGCAATCACAAAAGAATAACGACAGTGAAAACTGACGGGTACATAATGCAACGAAGAATAACGATACATCATATGGCCAAACTCCTACTGATCTTTTCATCTAAGTTTCAGGAATTTTCTTCAGGGTAACATTTCTGGGATGGATTTTTCAAAGGTGTGACACAGAGGCCAAGAGAGTAAACACTTGGTCTTTTTATAAGTCGTGTCTATACCTTCCGCATGACAATTTACAACAACAAACATTACTCAACTTAAAGTTCAAAGCAACAAATTAGAATATCCAGTTAAACCAATATTTATACTATTCTGTTACCTTCATCGTGTGAACGAATATCAGAATGAGCCTCTTTACGGAAAGCATTGTTTCGTCTTCAGTGCATTTGCCCTTAAAACGTGAATATCTTAACATGCGTCAAAACAGCAAGAGATAAAGCAAAATACAAAATGGTCATTCAGCGCCTTCTCCATGTGACCAACGGCGATCTCCCACAGTTCGTTGCGATAATTCCTCGTCACCAGGTCTGAAGCAGTTTGCATTATGTGATCTTCGACGACGAAAAACCTGCAAAAAAACGATCTTGCGAAAAATTACCCTAAGCACAGTCAAACTTTTATTAAAGAATAATACTTAATGGCAACAAAGTTGGGCAAGCATAGCAATTCCATCTATC